TTGATTGAGTTTGTAATTGATGATTGTCTTTGGTAATATTCTTCATGATGACGGGACAAGTTATTGATGTTGTTGCTTTCGCCGTGGCTGCCTGATAATTTATTGATACTGCTATTCGCTATGACAGTAACTGTTACGTATTACCTTTCTAGGTGTGATTGAATTATCTGTAATTGCAAACTCTCTTGTGATCGATTTCATTATAACTGAACTATAATTGATATTGATGTCTATCTTCGTTATGACATATATTGTATATGTCATGTATTTATCTGTCTTCTTGAACTACACGTACATGTATACGGAGGAACATAATGACAGTTTATAGGGTACACAATGTACAGTATACAGGGAACTCCGTGTAGAGTATACGGGGAACATAATGTACTGTATACGGGGAACACAATGACAGTATATTGGGAACACAATGTACAGAATACAGGGAACTCCGTGTAGAGTATACGGGGAACATAATGTACTGTATACGGGGAACACGATGTACAGTATACGGGGAACACAATGTACAGTATACAGGGAACTCCGTGTAGAGTATACGGGGAACATAATGTACTGTATACGGGAAACACAATGACAGTATATTGGGAACACAAGGTACAGTATACACGGAACTCCGTGTAGAGTATACGGGGAACATAATGTACTGTATACGGGGAACACAATGACAGTATATTGGGAACACAATGTACAGTATACAGGGAACTCCGTGTAGAGTATACGGCGAACATAATGTACTGTATACGGGGAACACAATGACAGTATATTGGGAACACAATGTACAGTATACAGGGAACTCCGTGTAGAGTATACGGGGAACATAATGTACTGTATACGGGGAACACAATGACAGTATATTAGGAACACAATGTACAGTATACAAGGAACTCCGTGTAGAGTATACGGGGAACATAATGAACTGTATACGGAGGAACACAATGACAGTATATTTGGAACACAATGTACAGTATACAGGGAACTCCGTGTAGAGTATACGGGGAACATAATATACTGTATACGGAGGAACACAATGACAGTATATTGGGAACACAATGTACAGTATACAGGGAACTCTGTGTAGAGTATACGGGGAACATAATGTACTGTATACGGGAAACACAATGACAGTATATTGGGAACACAATGTACAGTATACAGGGAACTCCGTGTAGAGTATACGGGAAACATAATGTACTGTATACGGTGGAACACAATGACAGTATATTGGGAACACAATGTACAGTATACAGGGAACTCCGTGTAGAGTATACGGGGAACATAATGAACTGTATACGGAGGAACACAATGACAGTATATTGGGAACACAATGTACAGTATACAGGGAACTCCGTGTAGAGTATACGGGGAACATAATGTACTGTATACGGGGAACACAATGACAGTATATTGGGAACACAAGGTACAGTATACAGGGAACTCCGTGTAGAGTATACGGGGAACATAATGTACTATATACGGGGAACACAATGACAGTATATTGGGAACACAAGGTACATTATACAGGGAACTCCGTGTAGAGTATACGGGGAACATAATGTACTATATACGGGGAACACAATGACAGTATATTGGGAACACAATGTACAGTATACAGGGAACTCTGTGTAGAGTATACGGGGAACATAATGTACTGTATACGGAGGAACACAATGACAGTATATTGGGAACACAATGTACAGTATACAGGGAACTCCGTGTAGAGTATACGGGGAACATAATGTACTGTATACGGAGGAACACAATGACAGTATATTGGGAACACAATGTACAGTATACAGGGAACTCTGTGTAGAGTATACGGGGAACATAATTTTTTGTACTGTATACGGGGAACACAATGACAGTATATTGGGAACACAATGTACAGTATACAGGGAACTCCGTGTAGAGTATACGGGGAACATAATGTACTGTATACGGAGGAACACAATGACAGTATATTGGGAACAATGTACAGTATACAGGGAACTCTGTGTAGAGTATACGGGGAACATAATGTACTGTATACGGGGAACACAATGACAGTATATTGGGAACACAAGGTACATTATACAGGGAACTCCGTGTAGAGTATACGGGGAACATAATGGACTATATACGGGGAACACAATGACAGTATATTGGGAACACAATGTACAGTATACAGGGAACTCCGTGTAGAGTATACGGGGAACATAATGTACTGTATACGGGGAACACAATGACAGTATATTGGGAACACAATGTACAGTATACAGGGAACTCCGTGTAGAGTATACGGGGAACACAATGTACAGTATACGGGGAACACAATGCACAGTATACGGGAAACACAATGTACAGTATACGGGAAACAATGTACAGTATACGGGGAACATAATATACAGTATACGGGGAACACAATGTACTGTATACGGTGAACACAATGTACTGTATACTGGGTACACAATGTACAGTATACAGGGAACTCCGTGTAGAGTATACGGGGAACACAATGTACAGTATACAGGGAACTCCGTGTAGAGTATACGGGGAACACAATGTACAGTATACGGGGAACTCCGTGTAGAGTATACGGGGAACACAATGTACAGTATACGGGAAACACAATCCACAGTAAACGGGAAACACAATGTACAGTATACGGGGAACATAATATACAGTGTACGGGGAACATAATATACAGTATACGGGGAACACAATGTACTGTATACGGGGAACTCCGTATTGTGTATACGGGGAACAAAATGTACAGTATAGGGGGAACACAATGTACAGTACACGAGGAACATAATGTAAAGTATACGGGGCACATAATATACAGTATACGGGGAACACAATGCACAGTATACGGGGAACTCCGTGTAGAGTATACGGGGAACACAATGTCCAGTTACGGGGAACACAATGTACAGTATACGGGAAACACAATGTACTGTATAAGAGGAGCTCCGTGTATGGTATACGGGGAACACGATGTACAGTATACGGGGAACTCCGTATTGTGTATACGGGGAACAAAATGAACAGTATTTGGGGAACACAATGTACAGTACACGAGGAACATAATGTACAGTATACGGGGAACTCCGTGTAGAGTATACGGGGAACACAATGTCCAGTTACGGGGAACACAATGTACAGTATACGGGGAACACAATGTACTGTATAAGAGGAGCTCCGTGTATGGTATACGGGGAACACGATGTACAGTATACGGGGAACACGATGTACAGTATACAGGGAACACAATGTACAATACGGGGAACACAATGTACAGTATACGGGGAAGACAATGTACAGTATACGGGGAACACGATGTACAGTATACAGGGAACACAATGTACAATACGGGGAACACAATGTACAGTATACGGGGAAGACAATGTACAGTATACGGGGAACACGATGTACAGTATACGGGGAACACAATGTACAGTATACGGGGAACACGATGTACAGTATACGGGGAACACAATGTACAATACGGGGAACACAATGTACAGTATACGGGGAACACGATGTACAGTATACGGGGAACACGATGTACAGTATACGGGGAACACAATGTACAATACGGGGAACACAATGTACAGTTTCCGGGGAACACGATGTACAGTATACGGGGAACACAATTTACAGTATACGGGAAACGAAATGTATAGTATACGGGGAACACGATGTACTGATTGCAGGGAACAAAATATATAGTATATGGGGAACACAATGTATAGTATACGGGGAACACAATGTAAATTATACGGGGAACACAATGAACAGTATACGGGGATCACAATGTACAGTATACGGGGACCTCAGTATAGAGTATACGGGGAACACAACGTATAGTATACGGGCTACACAATGTACATTTTTCGGGGAACACAATTTACAGTGTACGGGGAACACAATGTACAGTATCCGAGGAACACAATTTACAGTAAATGGGGAAAACAAAGTACAGTATACGATAGAACACAGTGTACAGACAAAGTACATAGCATACTGTAGAGTACCCCGCGGTTCCACACAAAGCCACTTGCCCTGTGATTCTTCTAGTACTTAAGACATAGCTACTTCAGACAACTGGAGTCTTCTTCAGGCGTTGGAGTTAGTGAATTTGATCGATGAGCTTATAAAATCGATACCAATAAGTATCAACAGTTTCAGGCATGTTTCGTGGGATGGGTTCACTTAGACGCGGATTAAGCATCGGCTGACTAGACGCTGTTGTTGTCGGCAACAAGCGAACACATATCCACCAACACGTAGACGCTACATTACATGTGCAGTCATTAACGTGCACACCAAACAGGTCTCTGATATATAGCACTCTGATCGATTCTTTTAGCAATTTTACAATTTCATTTTTTTTATCTGCGAAAAGTTTTATGGATTTTGAAATTACAGACACTCCAAAATCAAGCTTGAGTACTCAGTAGATCTATCTATATTGAAACCCCTGGATGACGGGAATCAGCAGGGGCGCACATAAGAATGATATATTTCTAAACTGATACTATTGAAATCGTTTCCTTGAGCAGTAGACGATTTAATTCAATTGACAACGCACAATCAAGTCAGGCGGATCTCCAGTGGCCCAGCTCGACGACTGGAACGCTTTTATATTCAACTTCTGGGAAACATCCAACATTTATGCAAGTCTTGAAATTACTGCATTTTTTTTATACTTTTGTATCAATTGTGATATTGCTCCGATTTAAGCGTAGAAAATCTACAAGGAACGCGATATGTTGATTCAGAGCAGGATGCGCGGAAAATAAATTTAATTCAAGTTTTTGAAGCTCAAACAACAATTTCTAAGTCAAACTCCTTTTTTTCCGCTCGGAAATCAAAATATTTCTCAACCACGCTGAGACTAACCTTGAGACTCACGGCCCAATGAAAATGCCTCCCGACCAGCAGCCCGTACTAAACAGGTCGGGCAGTAGTATAGCGAGGCTGGTATTGATTGGTAACGGTTTGTCAATAAGTCTTGCCAAGCGATTGGTTACAAATGAAGACCCTAGACCACGGGAAACAGCACCTCTCGCTCACTTTGTGAATGGACTAAGAGAGATGCGCGCGTTATACCAAGAGCTCTCACACTGATTGGGCACGTGCATTCGGTAAGCTTCTAACAGGATGTGAATGAGAACGACCGAGTCCAGAGATAATGCTGAAATACTGAAGGCTTTTTCGGTGGCTTTTGATTCAGTGCGGAAATTGTTTGGCGATGGATATTATCTCAAGCAAGGCTCAGCTGATCAGCGATGAGATGTCCATTTAAGTCGTAAGTCTTTGTTGATGTGCGTGTTTGTTAGAAGGTTTTTGTTGATAAACAAGAGCGTGAGTGACACTTTTGTCAACCCAACATGGTTTCCATTAACAAAATGTATACATCCTCTGCTATGCAGCTTCACACAGTAATCCTCTTCATCCATATCATATCATCACTGTTACTCTTACAATCTGGGAAGGCTACAATGTAGTAGGTCCCTATCGTGATATGGTGGCGTCGAACCATACTTACTCGTGGTAGGAGTTCCATTATAGGAGTTCCATGAATATATGGTAAAGTTGTCCCTTCACAACTATACCTTTCACCCTTGGTGATAAGAACACTGTCATGCGTATGGTATTGATGGTTTTCATTTTGGTTGGAGTTCATGCAAATCACCAAGCATGATGGTTACATCTTATTCAATACAAATACATGATGCTATCTCGCAAATTGATCCTCCGTGAACACGGGTCTGCTTCACATTTCCGTCGCACGTTAAGGAGTGACAGATTGACAGATGTGCATTTCAACTGTTGACATTTCTAGGCAACGCATTTATGCTCTTTGGACACTAAATCACCGCGTCAACCTTCCGCGCCGCATGGTGCCTGCTCGTGTTGGTCTTATGTGACTTGCTGGTTTGTAGATAATGCGCGCCATGAACTCGGGTTTTGATGGCACCAATGTTCTTGAAACTATTTCAAGAATGTTTTAAATTCCTATCAACCTCTACTGTATTGTTGTTGTGCATTTCATAGCATGTCATTATCACTTGTCGGTTCCCTTGTCAATTTCAGCATTGTTCATTGCACTCTCTTCGCCCATCGATATCTGCAGAAGCCGGTGCCATTGACATTCAAATCGACAGATTTCATTATTTGGCACCGTCCTCGTAGGGACGAAATTGCCTCTTCAATTCTAGCGAGTTTGGAAGAACTTGATGGGTGAAAACCGATGACTAACTTGAACTGCCATTACTACTGCCTGTCAGTCAAAAAGACATCGATCATACCATCTCGTCCTGAACACTGAGGATGCTCTAATGGTTAAAACATAAATTGATACAGCGTAATGCAGTTTATTCTTGTTATGTTATCCTATACAAGATCTGAAGTGGAGACCTCTGTAATTAGCTTTCGTTTATGGTGTCGAGATGTTGCACAATTCCGGATCCTACGTGGGTGTTACGACTGACGAAAGTCAAACAACGAACACATGGCGTCTTATTTAACGGTGTAGAAAATTACACTTGGAATGAAAACTAGTTTATTTCGAATATGATACACAACCCTTAATGGCCTCTATTACAAGGTGAGGTACGCTATGTATAGTTCGTGTCAAATATTTTTTTTAAAAACTTGTGATATGTGTCTCCCCCCTTTGATGTTGTTCGTTGTCGTCATAATTTGATTACATTTTATCCTGGGACATTGGGAACCAGTCGTCTAAAACGTCGTAATTCGCTTTGCAGAGAAATCTATGATTGTGGGTTCGAATCCCGGTTCGCTGTAATTATGTTTCTGGTATTATTCCAGCACCATACCCGTGCTCGTGGGTTGTTCCAAAGTGGTAAACGTCTGAGACATGCATCACTTCGGGCTTTCCTCACACATTAAGCTGACACGCCGTGATAGCTGGAATAGTTAAATTTTGAAATATGTTAATTCCGCGTTTGAAACACCTCACCACTCACATATTCCATATGTCCATCAGTGAAACCCTGTCGTGAACTATGACATAACTGGAATACAATAATTTAAACCCACTCACATTCAATACAAGTTAATACAAGCACATAATATTACAATGAAGTTCAGAGTTCAAACGCACATATTAACCCTTCAAGAACCTCAGAGATAGACACTGATCAAATTTTTACTGTTACAAGAAAGAGGCGATCGGTTATCAAGGCGAAACACAAACCTGTCGTAATCTTTGTTTTGTCTAACACAGCAATCCAATTATTTTGTTATCTCCCAAAACAAGATAATCACTTTACCTTTTTCATCTTCCCGTTTACACTAGCGTCATCAAATTAACTCTTGGTACTTTCTTGCACCCGAATTAACATTCAGACTGAAGACCTAACAGAATTATGTTTTCCTGAAACGTTACGAAGTGAGCCATGATTTAGTTTACACTGTCCGAAATTGTTTTATCGTCTCGTGACTTCTGTCATTTTCTACGGGTTTATTGCTCTGGGGGTTGTTCCCACGCAATCAGACCCGGCAACAGCGTCATTTGGATCCAAGGTTTCTTTCACGAATTGTTTGGTGTAAATTATCATATCTCTTTACATTTACATCTAAATATCAAAATATCATCCAATTATGAGTGAGTGAATGATTGAGTTAGGTTTAACGCCGCTTTTAACAGTATTCCAGTTATATCACGGCGTGTCAGCTTAATGTGGGAGGAAAGCCCGAAGTGATGCAGGTCTAAGACGTTTAACACTTCGGTGAAACCCACGAGCACGGGTATGGTGCTGACAAACCTAGAAACAATCGGGGCGAATCGGGATTCGAACCCACAATCATAGGTTTCTGGCGTGCCCAAGTGACGCAACTTTGCACAGCGAATCGCGGCGCCTTAGACAACTGGGGCACCCGTGCCCCCGATTTATTTAAGAATTGACTTTCACTTTGTGTGAGTTTATTGGAGTATGAACCTCCATGGAATGAGCGCCAAACTGTATGAACGTCGGAGCTTGGGGTTTCCCCAGGAATGTGGACGTAGTCCCTCAGTGTTTACGTCATTTCAAGGTCTCGTGAAAAACGTATGAAAATCCAATTGTGTCCTTCTTACCTTTATGAACGACAATTTCGCGGTCATGTGACCGACCTCTCGTCCAATGGAAAAGCTGTATATCGTGTAAACTTCAAATTTAAAATTATAAAGGTTGAATGATGACAGTTTTCACGTTGAGGGTTAAGGTGGGGTTAAACGGCGCGTCCAAGATTATTGCACTTGCATGCATGCATGTGTGTGTGTGTGTGTGTGTGTGTGTGTGTGTGTGTGTGTGTGTGTGTGTGTGTGTGTGTGTAACTGACATTGATTCATGAACTCATGAATATGATATTATCGTTACGGCATTGAACTTCTTTATTATGAGGAACAAAACGTTTCGGAGTATATGCTTGCTCCTCTATCATGTGAATGATTGATATGAGGCAGAGAGCATTCATGTATACATGTGAGGTGAAATTGGGTTTCACGTCGTGTCCAAGATTATGGCACTTATATAGCGACGTGCATGCACGTGTGTGTGTGTGGCTGCTTGTTCTAGTCCGGACTGATGCCGATTTATATTGCCAGTACACTGAGATACCATGCGTAGTTTAACATGAATACCCCACTCAGACACAGTATACTGACTCCGAGCCTACCAGTCCTTGTTTAAGCACCTTAATGCCGAGCGTCAGACAGGGTAACAACAAGTCTTCTTTTAACGTCTTTTGGTATGACACGGCATCGAAACCCGGATCGTCCGCTCTCCATCCGTCGCTCTACCACTAGACCACGGAGGCGGTCAGTTGATGTTGAAGAATGATGCCTGATGATGTACATATTGGCATTAATAGGCTTAACAAGGCACGGCAGTAAAACAATACAGTGATTTGTATGGACAAGTTAATTAGAAAACAGTATTAAGATGGTGGAGACAGTGATGAGCTCATTTATACATTTGAGCAGAGAACAAGAGATTTCTTCATGCAAGAATGGTCAGATTGTATATCTAATTCAGAATATCTAGAATTATATTACACCTACAAATCCTTACTACAACCTGAAAATTATCTATCATCGATTAAGACAGTAAATGTAAGAAGAGCACAAAATTTAAATGTTGTTCGAATGATATTAAAATACATAAACTTAGAATGTCTAGTGTTCATGACTTTGCTGACGGTCTATGCAATTTCCGAAAAGAAGACTTAGATGATGAATATCATGCATTATTAATATGTCCAGCCAATACTAACTTAAGGTCAAGATATTTGCCCGTGTATAACTATGATACAAGTTTGTATCGCTACTCACAACAAATGACGACAGCATTGTATTCGAGCTTGATCTTTATCTTGAACAAATGTTTAAACTTATAAATTGAAGCGCTCTGTCACAATGTGTCAGATACTATCCAATCATCTGAGCAATTGGCCTCATGGGCAGGATGTACGAAATAAATTCTGTTCTGTTCAGTACTAAGATGGGAAGAATTAAGCTATATGTATAATGGACAATGGAATGAGGTTAAGATTGTTTAGCGATGAGGTCGTGGTAGGCTGTTGGGATGTAATACCCTTGATCTCTGTTGATGCCTGGTTGAAGTCTTTTGATGTTGATGTTCTAGGAGTTTCCTGGTCTTGGTCTTCCTAGCCATCACAACCAGCCACCTAGCCATCTACCAACAGCCCCGATCGGCCTTAAGATACTGATACACTGATATATTGATGTGCATGCCACCCTTTGTACTGCTCCTGTAACATTTAATATGCAGGGCATGACGTTCACAGTCAAGAATTCAATTCGTTATGAAACGTGTAGGATCTTCCATGATATATCATAACGAGGAATAAGCGAACGAATTAACAATAAGGGAGAGTTTATCTTCTTTATCAAGAACACGTGGTATACATTAAAGACCGGTTTGCATTCCCTAAGATACACTCCTTCGAATGATGCAAGTTTCAAGCATATAAAAATATGCTAATTTACCATACGTGACCCCCTGAAGATCCGACCCCCTGAAGATACTTCAGCAACGTGAAGATCCGGACTAGAATTGTTCTTTAGCGACCCATGCCTGTCGTAAGAGGCGACTTACGGGATCGGTAGATCAGGCTCGCTGACTTGGTTGATGCTTGTCATCGTATCCCAGCTGTGTAGATCCACGTTTAAGATAAATGAATTGTCTGGTCAAGACTCGATTATTTACTAACATATAGCTTGAATAAGAGTGCGGTGATAAACAGCAAACACTACCTCTGGTGAGGTTATTTTGAAAATGACCTTCATATCTCTTTGAAGGAATTATTGTTCCAACTTTTCCAATCACCATACACTTATTATCGGCCACACAACCCCACTGCTAATCAATACATAGTACCTAGTGTTGTTAACACAGTGTTGTCATGTTTAGAAATACCAAACGGAAATATCCACGTCCAGGTTTGTCCAATTATTGTCCTACGTCTCCCTACCTCGCGTCCAACTACAACGGAGACCAATCACAAAGTGGTTCTGTTCTTTGAAGCTTAACGAGATATAATAATGTTTGATGTATTTTCTCTGTTAAATGATACATTTTGAAGAGAATACTTCTTTGAAGCTACACTTTACCACCAGGAAATCGTCAGAGTAAATACCTTCATTTCAATCAAACCCGTCCACTATTTGCTTCAAAGCTATTTTCCTTCTGCCTTTGTAATTAGCCACATGGTGTCTTGGCCCCGTGCAATGATGGAGTCATGTCCCTTTGACATGAGTCCTGTTTATCATTATTGAGAGTATTCGGAATAAAACATTTGCTAATGACCACCTATGTGATGGTTAGTTGGTTGGTTTGTTGTTTAACGCCGCACTCAGCTATATTCCAGCTATATGACGGCGGTGTGAAAATAATCGAGTCTGGACCAGACAATCCAGTGATTAATATCATGAGCATCGATCCACACAATTGGGATCGATGACATGCATCAACCAAGTCAGCGAGCCTGACCACCCGATCCCGTTAGTCGCCTTTTACGACAAGCATAGTCGCCTTTCACGGCAAGCATGGGTTACCTATGTGATGGTGTATATGTACTGGATTTTTAGAGGTAAACTATAACCCTTGTATCTTTAACTTCATTTATTACAGACTGGTTCGGACAGAGTGTTTAGTGAGATGAAGATGTTTGGAAACAGTTCAAAACTACCAAAGGATACCACACAAGAAGCAACAACATCAGCTCTGCAACAGTGAGACCACTCCAAAGAAAGTGTAAGTATTTTCAACCCATTTTACCGAAAAAAGCCACAGAACATGGAACCTTTACATACACTAAAAGAAAACTTGTATTTCTTCTTTAAGATACGTAAATCCTACATATTTAAATTAGTGTCTACTTTCCCATCATTGAACCATGGAACGTGTGTGTCACTCAGGTATTTTCGCATTGCCGATGCAGCCTCAGAAATTCGTTACTACAAAGACTAGTCAAAAGGACTAGTGTAAACCGTATTCCACTTGTCCTCAGAATTTGTAGCTAGTGTTTCTAAAGAAGACGAAATGTGTTCATTGCGTACATTTTTTTGTCAGTCTTATTCCGTTGCAATTTATAGCAAACTTGAGCAGTGAGAACTGGTTCACAATTACAGCTTTCAAATGTTGTTAGTCAATCGGGACTACCATCATTTGGGTTTTAGTTGTCCTCAGCACAATTTAGTAGTCTGGAACAAACAGACCAGCGTGAATTTTTTAACATGATGTAATTTTCCGATTTCCGAATTAGAGTATAGGGCCCTGTTCCTCAAAGCGATCTTAGTGCTAAGTTGGTCGTAACTCCCATACTTTACCATAGGCTTACGATCAACGTAGCGCTAAGATCGCTTTGTGGAACAGGGCCCTGATGTTGAATCATCCTTCTGATGACGTTATAACTGATGTAACATGTGAAGTAGCAGATGTACTCGCGGTGCCGGTACACGTACAAACACGGCACGTTAGGTCACCAGCGATGTATATCTGTCCCAGAAAAACACAAGAAGAAAGTGCAGTTCTTGTAACCCACCTCGTACGACTTCTACTGCACTAAGACTGAAGGTACCAGGAAATAGCTAAACACGCTGTCCTATCCAAAAGCAGCTTGCCTCGTGACTTGATGTCAGAGTAATTTACAAACTCAACTCTATAAATTGTATGGCAACGGCACACGGATCGATATCTGAACGTCGCTATTACAGTTAAATAAAGAAGTTGGTGTCCATAAATTGTGCATACTTTGAAACTTAAGTCCAGGTAATTGTTCTCCGTGGTGATTTTAGAATGAAATCATTTTCAAAGGGTACACGTCTTTAGGTTGAATTAGTTTATTCTTTGGGCTGATGGGTTATATATAAGTTCTGAAGACAAGGAAGTAATCGGAAACGTCATTGACACACTGTAGGTTCCATTGAAGGCAACAGCTGCCGATCAGTGGTATGCATCGACTCTTGCAAGAGTAAATAGTCACTCTTCATCCTCACCTAATGGATATTCCTTGGGAAAGCAGTGAACGCTACATCCACATCCACCAACACAAGGAATATTAGTTCCTCAGGTTGGCAAAGATTATTGCATCATTCTTAAGGAAACCTCACGACAAACCCTTAGATAGATCCGCGTTAGCATTACATATAATTAATCCCTCGCTACTTATTCCTATTCCCTTCGAACTTACTTTTCATGTATGCAGAGTCTCTATATGCGATAACCACTCAAAGATGGAATGAACTTCAAACTGTTACGAGACTCATTCTCAGCGTCTTTATGCCATACCTTTGTGTCCGCACTGTGTTCCCAAGGTTGCATATATATTCTGACACAAACGTGTTTTTAATGGCACACAGCACAAGGCTCATGCCCCGCGGATTTCTCTGAATAATGTTTAGGCACCCCGTGCATTCCGTTCCCATAATTGTTCCAGGGCTGCTTTGTTCCCCGATTATTTCAAACCACGTTGGACTCTAGATGGATATTATCACTCAGATCGCGCCACAATGGCCACTTGTTCCGAGTTAACAGCACCGAAATAGCATTACTCGTCCTGTTCCACTATAACGCTGTTACACTGAATCTTCCAAACCTATTTGTTATCAAATAACACTGCAGGATCTGAACGATCTATGGGCATAATAAGGGTCGTATAAGTTTGCTAATAGGGCTTAATAGGCATTATTGGTGATAAGGTCGGACGGATCTTATAGTTAAGTGTTAATGTCGCCACGACTAATCATCTACAAGGTTACAGCACATCAGATTCCACTGATACATCCATATCTACGATGTTTAAATTAGGATACGATATATGGATGAACAACTTTATTGCAATTAGGAGCGACGTTTCGGTGTAGGTTACAACACCGTTATCAAACACTATTTATCCTTACTTGGTACTCCAACTTCTAAATGCCCTCAAAAAAGTTATCTATGATGTTTGCTGACGAGCTTCCTCAAGAACTATTTTACACCTAATGAAGGAGTAAGTACCTACTTCGAAACGTTCTGTTCCTCAAATAAAGAACTTGATATCCATAATTTCTCTTCCTTGTGTGCATCACTTCTAAATGCCTAAAGACTTCATTTTACTCTAGTCCTAAGTAAGTACTAACAAACTACAATATAGTTTTTGTGAGCCATGGGATATTTAATCCCTTATATTGTCCTAAATTAGCCTATTCATAAAAAGCGACAGTATGCTTGTATGTGATTTATCGTTTCATAACAAAAGCGATTCACAGATTGGGGATCTAGTTTTGATTCATTAGGTTCATTAGAAGTTCTAGGTCGGCACTATTCAGACCTAAAATTCAAAGGATTTATCCAGATGAAAGGGTCACGATTGGTTGTCTAGGAAACCGCTGGCCTCCGTAGTTGACACAGAACTAACTTCTATCACTTCTATCACTATGTAGTACTGTAGGCGTGGGGAAATTCATCACTTCAGAAACTGAGTAAAGTGATTCATTTTTTAGTTCACCACACATAGAAGCGATATAATTATCAGAGTTTGTCCTCAGCACTTGCTTGTACTCATTCCACTTTCAGTGTAAGAGTCCACATCGAAAGGTCGCTGATGCAATAAACCAGAAATTGGCATCCATATTTTTATCATAATTATTGGAGAGTGATTTCTTGTCCTGTTTTCAACCAATGCTGACAGTTACCGATCGATTGATGAGAGTTATCATTGTTAAAACGTCAGGGCAACTTGTAAAAAATTAAAGCAAATGTCACCTGAGAAAACAATTATGCATATGAGTCAGAATGTCAGCTCGAATTGGCAAAATATAAAAAAGAGAATTCAGTCAAGACTTTTTACTCTTATCTCAGGGTTACAACGTTGGAGGCCTAAGTAAAGCTTTCAAATGTGGAGCACAATTCCAAATTTGACGCATAAGTGACAAAAATATGTACGATACAATTGCCTCTTTTGACCTTTATCATATGTTTCCGTACTTTTTTCGGGTGAGCACCTGACTTGACTTCGCATGTTTTTTGTGACAACTGCCTTCAGTGGGGCAGGATGTGCTAGCAGTTTCGCTAACACCGGGTACCATCACTAACTGATATTGATTCACATGCACATGATATTATCGTAACAGCACAATGGAATCTGCTTTCAACAGAGATGTCTTATCATTAAGGAAAGGTAATAGCGATTATGTACTTCTTTATTATGAGGAACAATACGTTTCGGAGTATATGCTTGCTCTTCTATCATATGAATGATTGATATGAGGCAGAGGGCATTCATATGTACATGTGAGGTGAAATTGGGTTTAACGTCGCGTCCAAGATTATTGCTCTTACATAGCGACGTGCATGTACGTGTATGTGTTTGTGCGGCTGCTTGTACTAGTCCGGACTGACGCCGATTTATAGTGTTAGCTCACTGAGATACCATGCCGCAGTTTAACATGAATACCCCACTCAGACACAGTATACTGACTCCGAGCCAACCAGTCCTTGTTTTAGCACCTTAACGTCGAGCGTCAGACAGGGTAACAACAAGTACCATCTTTTAACGTCTTTGGGTATGACGTGGCACCGGGCCTTCCGCTCTCCAGGCGGACGCTCTACCACTAGATATATACGTGTAACAACATCAGAAGTAAAAAGATATAAAAAAGAAGACATGATAAAGAAGTTGACATCCGTTCTCTCTCACTCACTATCTCACTCACTCACTCACTCACTCACTCACTCACTCACTCACTCACTCACTCACTCACTCACCCACTCAATCAATCACTCAATCACTCTCATTCAAAGACTTCATTAAGGAAATGTTTTTTTTTTATTTCTTCTGTTAATTTTTATCTAAACAAATAATTGGAGTAAACATTTTTTTCTTCCGTTTCCCCAAAATCGATTTACTGAGATCAATTATCGAATGGTGTACGTGAACATTTAACCCATACGTCTCTCTTCATCCCTGAGATGGAACAGTATTTTACCACGAGCAAAAAGTGTTCCAATGAGTATGTGATACCATGCCGCAATGGATACCCGACTCAGACTCAGACACAGCGTAATGACTGGTCCTTGTTTTATCCCCGAATACCGAGCGCCGGCACCAGGGTAACAACAAATACCAATATTTGACATATGCTGTTAAGATGTGCCCGGGATTCGAACCACTGACCTTTTGCCTCTGAACACGCTCTCTCCACCACCCTACAGAGGCGGTCCGCAGATGACATGTCACTGGACAAAATATAACTGCACTTTACATCAGACATCACACGGGAAATCTAGACGTCCAGTTCTTTAGTTGCCATAGCAACATGACAACCTGCAACTGTATTAAACAGATGTTCTTGTAACCGACATCAGTGATTGACACTTATGCGTTGGATGGGACGTGATAAACAGCTTTTTAGTTCGAGTTACGAGTGGGAAATAACAAGTAACTATAAATTATGATATCAATGTGTCGAAGCAGTCAACCGGTGTCGATGACGTAGTTGCCGTGTTGAATTGCAAATGTTGGAACTATTTATTATCTGTGACGTGTGTGGGCTGTATAATGACGATTTGTATCTCGACAATAAACGAACTTCATAATCAGTGTTCTCGATATGATGAATCGATATTTATTTCAACTACAAAATATAGGAGAAGAGTTTCCTTTCACTGAAATGGATGTATGTTTATTATCCCCCGCAACGAGGTGATGTTTTTCGTCCCTCCTCCCGTCCTTGCCCAAGTCCGTCAGACACGTTTCGTTTGCGGAGCAG